TCCTTTTTTAGCTTCTAATCAAAACAAAGTAAATGATCAAAAAGATTATGAATTTGATCGGATAGGATGGTACGATGAAATCACAGGGTAAATAAAAGCGCAATAAAAAAATAATTCAGTTATGATAGTTAATATTGCATTAATTTTAGTCAGTGTTGCAAAATATTTAAGCCTATCGCTGTTCTATAAATGTTAATAATGTTATGGTGTTATCCGCGCTTACGACAGCAAAGGAATAGAGCGAAAAATTTTTTCACCAACTTTTTCCCTCTTTTAATTTTTCCCATATTTTTTATCATTTATTTGACAGAAAGAGTAACGAAACTGTTTTGGGGAAAAAAAAAACAGCTAAGAAAAGTTTATTATTGTTGGGAAAAGAAAATAACAACAGAAATTGTTGTAGAAAAAAAATATATATCAACTGTGTTTGTTTTTTTGTTTTGTCTGTATTTCGCTTGGCACTTTGAATAATTCTTAGTTTAATGTGCGTGTCGAAGTTTTATTCTCTTGTTTTTTTCTTTTTTTTTTCTTTGGAGGATTTTGAAGAGATAAGGAGAGAGGCTGAAAGGAGGAGTGAAAGGTGAAAGGATAAAAGGGTAGGATGGAAGAAATGGAGACCTATGAAGAGAAGGAAGGATCTTCAAACGCGTTCAGAGAGTCATCACTTCAAAGATCACTTTTGTGCACTGTTCTAACAGTTCATTGCCTTTTTCATTTCCAACATATTTCGCTCCTTTGTGCCGTCTACTGAGTACAGGCGGACACTATTGTACAACTGATGGACGACGAAGCGAAGCCAACAGCAACAGCCAAACGCAAGACAATTTTGGCAGTGGTTTTTTCCGTTTTTTTGTCTGCCCTACCTGTGACTTAAAACTTATTGGTACTCCAAAACTGTTGAGGGAAAAAAAAACAACGGTATTCTTCAACGATTAAATGGACGCACTAAAATTGATGTTTATACGTATGTTTCTACCAAAAACTTTTATAATATCTGGTTTTTTCAGTATTATACGTCGTTCGTTCTACTCGTTTCGTCCGACGATGATTTTTCTCCCGTTTGTTTCTAGTCTTGTACAGTTGTATTTTGTTTTTATAGGTTCATCTGTTGCCAAATAAGAAGAGAAGGAAAAAGAATAAGGTAACAGTATTAAGCTTTGCTTTTGTGTAAAGCTTCAGCAGTCACAGACTAGTATCAGAGCTCTGTGTTGTAAAAGGCAATGCGGAATGTGGTAATTTTCTTACCCTTTCTAATGTTGCTGGTCAAAATAGCATCTTCGAAAAATCCGTATTGGATTCGGCCAGTAAAAGTAAAACATCTGTATTTATTTGTCGACAAAGAAATTGTTCACTTATTTTTGTTCCTTTTTTTTTCTTTTTGTGAAGTAAGTAAAGAAGAAAGGAAAAATGTGTATGAATGGTAGGTGAGGGAGGATGATCTGGCTTTTTTTTTTTGTTGATAATTATTTGGGTGTCAATTATACAGCGGGCTGCTATTCAGAATACCACTCGCTCTAATGAGTCTTCGGATTCTTCAAGTGCAAAAGAAGGCGAGAAAAGTGCTATTGATAGTGAGTTAGTCTTTTTTGTTACTAATTTTATAAAACCGAGAACGTTTTCTTCCGTTTTTTTTTCTTTACTGATTTATTGACGTAAATTAGTTTTTTGGTAACAGTCAAAGCAAAATTCCGTTGGGGTATCGGTGCTACCATTAACAGACATGTTTTTTAATATGTTACTTCTCTTGACAACATCAAATTTTATATTCTTTTTGTGCTTTATGACGGCACTAGTTTGCAACACAGTTTTATTTTCACTTGATTTTTCTTTTTAGGGAAAGTTCTTCTGAAGAGAGTAGTGAAGAATCTGAGGAAGTAGGGTTTGAAGTTTTTAACAGAACATATTTTAATTGCCGAAGGACAAAAGATGTCTATGTGACTGGAAGAACCGCTGGAACTCTTTCACCAGAAGATATTGGGGTTATAGGTGTACTTGGAGATTCCATTTCGGTGAATTCTTCTTTCATTTTTGAACCCTGTGAAAACATTGTTTAGTGAAGCTGGAACTACCGTTTTTTTCTTCTAATGCCAACGATTTTGCTTTTATAGTTCTTGTTCTGTAATTAGCTATAATGTTTCTCGGTATTTTTGGTTCCTTAGTCCGACATACTCTTTTTCTCTTAAAATTAAAGTTTTTTTCAGACCGGTAGAGGTTTGGTAGCAGCAAATGAATTTGATTTTTTTGGATTTGCATTTTCGAGTGGAGGCGATGGGGAACTTTCAAATTCTGTCACTATACCCAGTAATTGCTATATCTAAAAAACTGTTTATTAATCATTTGAAAGAAATTGAAATTAGTAAGTTAAAGGCTATTTTGATTCACATAAAAATGAGCAAATTGTTGCAGATATATTAAAAATGTTTAACAAAAATCTGAGAGGAGTGTCACATGGAAGCGAGCGTCATCTAAATTTCGCAGCTGTGAATGCAAGATGTGAAGATCTAGACGAGCAGGTATTGAAGTATTGTGTTAACATTGTTTAAAACAAATTTTTTAAAAGAATTCTTTTACAGTCTACTTTTATCTTTTAGTATATCTCCAATAGTTAGTTCTCTTCTAGGCTAAACATTTTGTTGCCAAATTAAAAAAAATGTTTGAACGAAGCGTTTTGGAAAAAAGCTGGGTGATGGTGCTAATTTCTATCGGCACGGATCAAGTAAGTGTATATTTTGTTTATTCTTTAATTTCTTTTATATTTAGCATTTGAACGAGATTGTTTTTGGATGATAAGACTTTATGAGTTAGAAATAAATCCTCTCTTGCAATAATAAAATTACGAACTTACTTAGCTCACAAGTCACACGCATAAAATAAAAATATATAAGAGAAAAGTGACTGAGGGGAGGTGACCATTTCTTAGATCTGTAGTAGATTTTAGAAGTTTATATAACTTTATTCGAATGAAATTTTCACATTTTTTGGGACGATGAAGGTGTGCATTTATTGTTAGACGATAACTAATGAGGTTGTTTAAGGAGTTCAAGTAATGAGTAACATTTAATCTTTTTGCTATTCTGCATTTTTGCTACTGAACTGTCATGGCTTTGATTTTGTAATGGGATTTCTGATTTAGCTTTGTAAACTTTGTGCTGGTCCAGATTATGACTCTTTGTACCGTTCGGTTCATTATCTCATCCAGAAAGTTCAGAGACTTTTCGTCGTCTTAGTGGGCCCTTTATGGGTTTCCTCAACAACCAACTTGGAAAAAAATTTGCTGAAGTAGTCCCACTTACAATATCAACTTTTTTTTTGAAGTTTCGTTCATTACTGTTCTTTGAACGACTTTTGGTGGCTCTTTGTTTAGTCTCTTGTTAAGGGACCGCTGCCCTTGCTTGTATAATGAATCTGACCAGAATGTGGCGAAATTATATGACGAATGGAAAGAGAAGTTTAGTCATATTGAAAGTGATCTGGGTAGTTTTCATCCTGCCTCGTTTGGCGTAAAAGCAGTGCCTTCTCTGGCGGTACTTAGTAGAATCCCAGAAAGTCTTTTCATTGGTGGTTCCTCAGTGCTGAATAAGTAAGTTATTATGTACTAAAGTTTCAAGCTATTAATACTGAATTATAACAGGGCTTCTTTCAAATAAGCTTCTAGAAATTAAGTTTTTTACACTTCTGACGTAACTTAATCTTATCTACTGTCTTTTTGGAATCTTTTTGTAATACACAGCAAATAAAGTGATAACCGTAGTAGTTTTCATTGTTTGCTGATGACGGTTGTTTCATGCTGACGTATCAAAGGTGCAAAGTAGAATATGCTGTTAGTTCAGGTTAGGACATGAAAGTATTGCTCAGTGGTTATGGAATCATTTATTTAAACTCCCCGACGATAATGATTTCTTGCAGATGTTGGCTTTAAGCTCATCACTGCTTTGTCCACCAAGGGTAAGGTGTTCTAAGAATTTTTTTTAATATTATACTTCTCCTTGATTTTTCAAGCTACCTTATTGTGAACTAAATTAAGTAATTATAGCATTGCCCTTATTTCCTCTCATACTCAAATCGAGAGTCTTGCAAACTTCTTACTCTGAAAGAGGAAAGAAAAAGAGCTCGACAGTATACCACAACGGTACACCCTGTAATTACTAAGCGGCGAAAAACACTGCAAAGTCATTTGGGTCTGGTCATCGCAATCATTGTTGTATCTGCTTTTATCTCAGTAGTATTCTTTGGGACAATATTCTATTTAAAGGGTAAAAAGGCCACAAAAACAAGATTTGAAGCTGTTCCAGGAGTGTAGCTGTAAAAAGTATTCAAACACTAATTAGCCTTTTTTCTTTATTAACAGCACTATTAGTAGTAGGTTTTGCGAGGTCTTCTTTGGCGCTTTTTCCCATCTATCTGTTTGAATTTTAATCTTTGCAGTAAGATGTGACACTGCCGAATGGCTTCTAGACGACTTTTTTTTTTTCCTTTTTTCTGTGTACTTTTCCGAATTTTCTTGGGACAGTTTAGGATCTGGTTGTTTCCTACTTATTACCTAAATTTGGTCAGGCAGTCCGGCTAGTTTTACTTTTCCGTTTTTGAAGCATCAGTTACTCTTTTGCAGGTAGCATCTTGCTCATTTTGATTTTATCTAAAGACCGGATCTGGTAGTAATGCCACTTAACAAGCAGAAATTTTACCAATACTTCATCAAAGCTTCTTCTAAAGAAAAACTGCGTAGAAATGACTTTTGACTAGTAGTTTTGAGGTCTAGCTTCGTTGCATTTCTGAAAACTAATTTAATTATTAGCGTACAGTTCTAAATGTGCATTCCATTTACGCACATCTTGCTGCGTGTTCTATACTTTGCTTTTTTACTTACTTTTTTTATTCTTAACCCTATTTCTCCTTTCGTTTGGTACAGGCTGGCTAGCAACTACAGTTATTCAACACTGAAAATTTGTCAAAGTTAGTATTATTGGTAGTACCCATATAATAGCCTTAATGTTCAGCATAATCTGGTGGTAAACAAAATGCTTTGCCATCTTCATTGTTTTGTGATGTTTTCTTCACTTCGCTCCATTAAAAATAAATCTCAAGTCCTCTTCAAATTGTCATCCAAAAGGACAATTGACGATATTTAACAGCATCTTGAAGTCTGATGGCCGTTAAAATATTTCGTTCTTGTGAAGTAGCAGATCAAAAACGAAATTTATTACAACATTTTCCAGCTTTTCAAGCTTACTTGAACTGTTTTCGTAACTGTTAAAAAAAATAAGTCACTGAAGGCAACAGCTTCACTAAACTGAAACCCTTATTTAAAACACGCTGACAGAAGCTCTCAAGTGAAGCAAAGAATGTTGGATTTAAAGTGTTGTGTTTGACGTTATTAAGAGAAAAATTAAGCAAGCATAGATTATGACTGTCACCGAAACAAGTTCTAGGTTCTCGTATTATAGGTGAACAGGGCAGATTTTTTCTCTACACTGAAGATAATCGACAGAAAGACAACACAGTTTTTGAAACAGCAACAAAAGACTGGGAAGGAATAATACAGTTAAATCACAGTCGTAAACTACTTTAGGAAGACGAGAAGAAACGGCAGTAAAAAGACAATTTTACAATAAATTAGGTGCTGCACAACCGCCTCAGTAGGTTTTCCCGCTTCATGGTTTCAGTTGAGGAAACAACTACCTTAAACAGTAGATAAAGATTTTATTCTGCAAGCTAAAAGCAAGAACTTCATTGTTTGGAGAAGTGCATTATTTCCTATTCGACGTTCTTATCAAAAAACAATTTTAATTCAGTTACCGGCAGCTGGATTTAGTTTTCATCGCTTTCAGATATCAATTCCTTTAGAACATCAAATATAACAGTCGTTTTTGGATAGTCATTATCGACTAGTGTAACTAAACAAAAGCCATCATGAATTTCCTCCAAAACTTCTCTGCTTCTGGACCCTTCTGGATATGCTTGAGCCCTGAAAATTCCATATACAGCATGAAGTAATCAGATTTTCAATCACTACTTTATTTCCAGAAAGATCATAGAGAAGATTATACAGAGCAGAAACAGAATGAACTTTTAAATGAGCAAATTTGTCATAATTACCAGTTCAACCAGGCAGCAAACGCCTCATCTTTCCAAGCTCGAAACGAAAGTGGGTCAACAACCGTTGGCTGAGCAATTTCCATACCAGGGAATACCCCCCAGGTTACGGCTATCGGTGTCGTCGACTCCGCGTTTGTCCAATCAAATGATGCCTAGAAACTCGCATTTTTGAAAGCTAAGCTAGTCAGGAAAGAACAAAGAAATTTTTAAGGAAATTACTTTTAGTTCTGGTTAGAAACCAAATAATAGAAGTGTGTTTGGAAAAACCGTGTGATTCAGTGATCAACTAATCACTGAACCATTCAACGTACATCGTGATTTATGATCTGACAGCTTAGACGGGTTTGCAGACCAAGAACTTGTGAAAGTGCTATGGCATTTTCTTTCGATGTGAAAAACTCTAAATAAGCCTAAAAAACAATATGAGAAGACGGACGCCAGCTGCGTCGCTTTTCAGTTTGATCACCGTAGGGAGAAAAGAGAATTAATGTGTGGGAAAACGTAGGTTTCTGATAAAGCAAAAATTGCAACTCTATTTAGTATATTCGTAAAATTCAATTAGATTGAATACCCTCTGATAACAGTATCCGCCAGGCCTTCCCCAACCAACTAAAGGATCGGCGCTCGGTGTCCCATTTACAGGGGGTTGACTGTTTATCGTTAAGATGCCATGTTCATTACACCAAACCAGTTGGTCCTTAATTAGCGAAGTTTCTGGGTCGGTACCGATTTCCTGTTCGTTCCAAGGCAGACGGGTAACCTGGAAGCAAAAACCTGGTGATCTCATTACGCTTAAGCTTTATGACACCAAATTAGCCAATAAAAATGGCACACCCGTACCTTCACGCCGTTTTCATTTGGATTTTGTGTTATGAAGTTCACAAAAACTTTCTGCACACTTTCTAAACTATCTAGGTTATATCCATACATACTCAGCTGCTCTTCTTTCGTCGGCAACCCTTTTAAATGAAAAAGATAATAATCCGCTAAATCGTTAAATGCAGGAGAACTGCTGTTTCCCCACCGTCCATTCGGGAAGTCATCCCAGTCCTAAACAAAAAATTTAGTCCTGTGCACTATAAAATTCTGCTTAAGTGCTACATCAAACTCCTACCCGGGTACGAAAAACGTATGCTTTCGGACGTGTAGACCAAAAGATAGGGCGGACATCTTCTTTGCAACGTAGCGGATGATTACCTCCAAAAGATTTCCATGGCAGTGCTCTCTGCGGCATTTTAACCCATAAACCCAATGTCTGCAGTATTTCTCTAAAAAAGCAGTAGTACTGAAAGAAAATGAGACAAAATAAATC